TTTCTCTGGAATGCCAGTGTCTGGAGGTTTGGATAGGCTGGAGGAAGATCACTGGATTCAGGTTTACTCCACCAAGGAGGAGCAGGGTCAAGGTATAAATTCAGAAGTGCTCAGACGTACCATTTTATCACAAGCAGACTGACCACTAGGAAGAGAGAAGATAGAAGGTGAAGATTTGTTAGGGAATTGCAGGGAGCTGAAGACTCATATGCTAGAGATGGCTCATACCTGCTCTCTAGAGCCAAGGGATAAATTTCCAAAGTTTGCAAATCAATTGTTAAACACAGCCATTATTAAAAATTACATTACATACTTACAATAAATTACATGAGAAACAAAGGCAATAAGTACTCAAAACTCATCACACCTTAATAACAATACATTATTATCTATGCTTTTGAGGTTATTTCCATCGATTTTATCTGTCTGGTGAAAATATTACATGAAAGTGAACTGTGTATCTCTTCCCAACCCTGTAGTTGGTAATATAGCACATTGGCAGCTTGAAAAAAGCCATGGTGGGAGTATTGATGCCATGAAAATCTGCAAATGCTACATATAAATACTTGACTTATTATTTTGTTTATTAATTAGACTTAAAGTGATAAAGAAATATTAATGTTGCAGATTGAGTATTGTGCAAATAAATAACTGTAGAAGCATTCTTATAGTATTTGAAACTATTATCTGAAAAGTTGCTCAAGTCATTGATGAAAGAGTGAAGTTCTGAGATGCGCATCTGTTTTGTATCACTTTCATCTAACTTAGTAACATAAGTGAAAATATCACCAAATATTCACATCAGAATACTTGTCCATTGCAACCGTAGTTTGGGTATGAGTTTGATAAAATTCAAGAAAAGCATTCTTTGATAGTCAATTGGCTGCATAGACTTTATAATCAATATTTTATATGTTGTAAATTATATATGCTTTATATTAGCAAAATTTATTATGTGTATGTAAAAAAATGCAAGTATATAAAAATATATGTGCATATGTACATGAAAATGCATACATTATATTTAGACAGTCAGTTATTACCAGCACTCTACAGATGCCTTGCAGTGTATTGGGTAGATATCCTCTGCACTCAGTGTTGAGGGATGTAGATGGAAAGAATGGGGGTTTAGTAACTCAAATGCGTGGATCATGCAGCTGGAGCTACACCCAGGCCTCAGAATTAGTAAGAACGTATTTTGAAACAGTCTATTTGAATTTAAGATTCTTACAGTACCAGTTTTCTGTCATTGTTATGCACTAAATTTTGTCCCCACCTCAAACCCTATGTTGAAACCCTAACCCCCAGTATGACTTTATTTGGAGATAGAGCTGTTCAGGAGGTAATTAAGGTTAAGTGAGGTCATAAGTATAGGGCCCTAATCCCAGAGGACTGGTGTTCTTACATGAAGAGAAAGATACACCAGAGCTTGCTTTCTTTTCATATGTGCACGGTGGAAAAACCACTCGAGGATGTTGTGAGAAGGTGACTGTATATAAGGCAGTAAAGGCCTCATTCGGAAACCAACCCTACTGGCACCTCGATCTTGAACTTCCAGCCTCCGGAGCTGGAGAAATGAGTGGCTTAAACTACATTTCAGTTGTTCAAGCCAGCCAGTCCGTGGTACTTTTATAGTACTTATTATGGTACTGAAGTATTATGATATTAAATTATTGTGGCATTTATTTTGGTGGTATTTACTATGGCAGCTGCAGTAGACTAATACAGTCATCATTTGAAAAGAATGAGCATGGGATATACAAAGACAAAAGAAAGAAATAGGAACTCATCCCTGTAAAGTGGCATATAGAAAGTCCTCAATAACGATTATTACTATTTAATATGAATAAGTCAGATCAGACTAATGGTTATACGAGGGAGCAGAAGAAACATTTTAAACACAAAATCTTCCATGTTATCAGATCAATTGTAGACGATGTTATTTTTGAAATGAGTCATAGAAGAAAGAAAATGAAGAAAAGAAAATTGCGGAGGAAGGAAATTTACCAGAGAATATGACAATTTTGGATCAAGTCAAGCTATTTAAGTGTAAAGGACATATACAGATAACTCAGACACAAAAGAATGCAGTGAATAGAAGAAACAAGCATCTTTCTTGAAAAATATGCATAATGAAATGAAAAAAATTCCTTGACTTGAAATCGGAAAATATAGTGTCATTTTTAACATGTTTGGCATATTAAAACCCAACAGCATATTTTTGTATACAAAGAAAACTGCAATAAATTCTATAAACTAGAAAAATTGTGTAGCATGGTAATTGATGACAACACACTGACACTAGAAATTTAGTATAAAATAAAATAAAAAGTCCCAACCACCTAGAATTTTTAACAATAATAGCTAAAAACAACTCAATATTCAGCTCAAAGAGAAATGTCAGAACTGAAATTGTGGAGCAATAGAAAATAACACTATTATAAAATACTACATATTAGAACTTATATGGCTGAGACCATGCTCAGGAGAAAATGTATGTCCTTAAACATCAAATGAAATGATCTTTTAACATAAGAAGTTAGAAAAAGACAGAAAAAGATTTTTAGGAAAGTAGGAAGCTGGGCATGGTGGTACACACCTGTTGTCCCAGCTACTTGGCAGGATCGGGCAGGAGTTCAGGTGCAGCGTGGGCAGCATAGCAAGACCTTGTCTCTTAAAAAAAAAGAAAAGAAAAAGCAGAAATAAGGCTTCCTAAAGATAACAGCAAAATTAATGCATTAGAATATAAGAAAACTATAGAACTAATAAGCAAATGAAAGAACCCCCTAGTAACAGATAATCACTGGCTAACCTAATTTAACAAGAAAAAGGAGATAACATAAATACATAAAATTGGAAACCAAGAGACAATCAGATACAGAGGGGATTACAAGAAATGTTTAGGAATTTTTTCATAAATTTATTTGAAAACCTGGATACATAGATGATTTTCCAGGAAAGTACATATAACCAAAATTGATCTCAGATGTAAAGGTAATCTCAAACAGAATAATTACAAGGAAGAAGAGAAAAATACATGTGAAAGCACTACCCTTAAAAAAAAGATTAAGGCTCATCAATGTGAATTTTTCAAACCTTGAGAATAGGTATCAAAGCTCTTCCAATTGATTTTTACAACACTCCCACAACATTGAAACCAAATTCTGAAAAAAAGAAAACGTCACATCTAGCTTACTAAACTGGAAACATCCCAAAGTTAATTGACTGGCTGTATAAATTTGTACAATGGAATACCATGCAGCTACTAAAATAAGAAACCAACAAGAGCTATATTTATGTGCATATGGAAAGAGCTTTAAAATACATTTTTATACTGACATTTGATCAGATTGTTCGCTTTTCTGTTTTATTTCTTTTGAGAACCTTTGAATAAAAAAATCTGAAATTAAAAATATATATATTATTAAATACAAATAAAGATTCAGAACAATGTATATATATGTATCAATTTGAATTGGGCATTTGATGAAGAGACTGTTGATGGTGGTAACTGATGTTAGGGCTGGGAAGAAGAACCAGATTTTATCGTATCTCTCTTTCTTACTTGGTTTGTAGACATGGTATCTGTATTATTTTTATTAAATCATTCATTAAATCCTTAGCAATAAAATAGAATTTGCATAGTCACTAAATTTCCCTGCTGTTATGTAATTGATCTAGAATTGTGTGCATGACATTTATCAATGTGTTTTCACAAAGTGGTATATTATATAAGGTAGTTTTCCCTTTCATTCTTTTATTAGATGGAACTTCCAAGTGGAATCACTGCTTGATATTCTATGGAAAACTTGACCTTTTTTCTAGCTCATGGAATATGAAGAATGCTAATCTGGTTTCATCAGAATGTCCTTTACTTTTTTTTTTTTTTTTTTTTTTGGAGATGGAGTCTCACTTTGTCACCCAGGCTAGAGTGCAGTGAGTGGCACAATCTTGGCTAACTGGGTTCAAGTGATTCACCTGTCTCAACCTCCCGAATAGCTGGGATTACAGGTGACTGCCACTATGGCCAGCTAATTTTTGTACTTTTAGTAGAGATGAGGTTTTGCCATGTTGGCCAGGCTGGTCTCAAACTCCTGACCTCTTGATTTGCCCACCTGGGCCTCCCAAAGTGCTGGGATTACAGGTGTGAGCACCGTATCCAGTCTGTCCTTTAAGAGAATATTAGTAATTTCATTTTCATCATATATTTCCACTTTTCTTTTTTTTTAATTTATTTTTTATTCCAATAGGTTGTTAGGGAGCAGGTGGTTTGGTTATGTGAATAAGTTCTTCAGTAGTGATTTTTGAGATTTTGGTGCATCCATCACTAGAGCAGTGTATACTGTACCCAATGTAGTCTTATTTTCACTTTTCTTTTTAGCCCCATGAGAAGAGCTCACTCTACCTGAGAACAAAACAGCATCAACAAGGGTCACTTCTTCCCCACAATATGTTGAAATTTTTGACCTTCCTTTAACATTCAAACAACTCTTACAGTGTTTCTGAAAATCTTAATTGTCTGGCAACTGAACAGTTTATGTTAACTTTTTAGGTGGGCATGTTTACTCAGTCTGATGGGCAGTATATGAGATAAATTTTTAAAAATTTATAGCAACTCTCTTGCACTATGCCATGTGAGCAGGTACCATGTACAAATAATGGAAGCTCTTTAGGGAGTTTATTTTGCTGTTTGTGAGGAAGGAGTGTTTTGAACTCTGAAATGAGAATATCAGTGCCTGCAAGTGCCAGGTGCTATACTGTGAGTTACCAGATTAAATGGTATAAAAGCAATAGGAATTCTAATAATGTACAAAGCTGGAGAGACCAGGAAGTTAAGTCTGAGGTTGGGGCAAAATTTCATTATCAGTCAAGGATTTTGACGACATATATCGCCAGTATGCTCCAGGACTGGTTGCCTATTTTGGTGTATTTTAAAAGGAAGATTTCGATATATGATATCTCTGTGTTAAAATGTGTTCTACCTTGCTGTATTTATTTAGCTGACACCAACTCCAGAACTCAGCTGTAGATTACTTTTGGAAGTGACTGACCGTGGCGGTATCTACAAAAATGGTAAGAAGAGTGGAGGAATCTTTGTCGTTTCAGTCTAGGGATGCTTCCTTGGTCCAGGAATGCCTTCCAGCATTCTTGAGCTCTGGCTAATGAGGTGCTAATGGGGTGTTATTACTGGCTACTAGACCAAGGCATCCAGAGAGACAGGCTGGTAAACACCCTTTGAAGTATGTGCCTAATCCTTTGAAGTGTGTTTCTAATGGGAAGATAAGCACATTTCCGGTCTTAGAGATGCAAAGTTTTGTGTCCTAACCTATGTTATCAACTCTAGGACACATTTGCTCTGTTTCAGGTAGTACTTAGGCAAGAAACTGCGTTAGAGGGGTGGTTCCAGGGCTCGGTCTCCTCATGTTGGATTTGGCTAATGGTGCCTCATATATGAAACCTGCTTAGTGATTCTTATATATGCCCCAAGAGATAAATAGAAATATAGGTCAAACTAGGGGAATACAAACCCAAATGTCTCTCTAAATAAACTTTTCTCCTCTTTGACTTCTCTGAGATAAGTTTATTTGGAGGGACACTCTCCTCTTCGACACTCTGTTTTCTCCAACACTTTAATTAAGTAAGGTCAAAAACTGTCTCTGATTGGTCCCTTGATTCCTGGCACAGTGGTTTGTACAGAAAGTACAGAGTACAGAATCTTTTAAATAGTGCTCATGTATGAATCACTTTGTGATATGGATTAAAACTCTGATGCTCTGCCACACAATTCTTAAAACCAAAAAGTTCTCAACTTAGCAGAAAGCCAGATATAGGACAATATAATACTTTCTAAGCCTTTTAGTGTTTAAAGTATTTACACCTCATTTACCTCAAATTACATTCAGTGGAGATTCCCCAGACCAAATTTTAGAGGGTCAGGGTCAAATGCGAAGGGGACAGAAGGTTTTCTGGTTTCTACATATGGACTCAGATTGCCTTCTAATTCAGTTAAGTGACAATTTATTTGTTAATACAAATATATTTGCATCCAACCAATCAGCAAATATGTCTTGAATATAGTATTCTTCCTCATATTCATGGGGTAAACTTTCCATGACTTCAGCGAATGCCTGAAGCCACGTATAGTACCACACCTCCTATATACTATGTTTTTTCTTTATCGTAAGTCCAGTACCCACAGACTTATGAAAATGTGTATAAATTAAGGACAGTAGGAGATTAATAATAACTAATAATAAAATAGAACAATAATAATGCTATTCCATAATAAAAGTAAAGTGAATGTGGTCTGTCTTGCTCAATATATCTCATGTAATATTTTCAGATTGCAGTTGACTATGGGTAACTGAAAATGAGGAATGAGAAATCACAGATAAGGGGGGACTTCTATATTTTATTATGGCAACAATCTGTGCACATAAATCAAACCTCAGCTAGCAGAATTAAAGGTAGCAATTGAGGAATTAGGGCTCATCGTGGTGGATAGGAAACAGGACTGGAATGCAGCTCTTCACAGAGGAGCACGCAGAAGCTTGCATTGTGAATTTTAGGTCCAGATTGACTGCAAGAACAAACCAACAATACTGAGAGGACACACAGACCCTCTGAAGGAAGCAGACTGCACCTGCAGGACCTGGGAGATACCCCAAATACTGTGAGTGCCCCACCTGCGGAAGCAGGAAAGGGAGACCATCCTCTCCTGAACACACACCCCCACTGGAGAAACTGAAAGTCTGTTTGTGGGAGAAGTTTCCAATTTTACCCGGAGCTGAGTCAATTTAGAGAGCCATGCAAAATACAGGGGTAGAAGAAGCCGCAGAAAGGCCTTGGAAGCTTGCTGGGTCCCCCCTAGCAGGCTATTCCTGCCTGGCACCACAGGGATACATCAGGATGGTGGCCAGAGGAAAAGGGGGTAAAACGACACAAGGAAAATAAAATCTCTAGCTGAACTTAAACAAATTCACAAGAAAAAACAACCCCATTAAAAAGTGGGTGAAGGATATGAACAGACACTTCTCAAAGAAGACATTTATGCAGCCAACAAACATATGAAAAAAAGCTCATACTCACTTGTCAGTAGAGAAATGCCAATCAAAACCACAATGAGATACCATCTCATGCCAGTTAGAATGGTGATCATTAAAAAGTCAGGAAACAACAGATGCTGGAGAGGATGTGGAGAAATAGAAACACTTTTACACTGTTGGTGGGAGTGTAAATTAGTTCAACCATTGTGGAAGACAGTGTTGCAATTCCTCAAGGATCTAGAACCAGAAATTTCATTTCACCCAGCAACCCCATTACTGGGTATATACTCAAAGGATTATAAATCATTCTACTATAAAGACACATGCACACATATGTTTATTGCAGCACTGTTCACATAACAAGGACTTGGAACCAACCCAAATGCCCATCAGTAATAGACTGGACAAAGAAATGTGGCACATATGGAATACTAAAAAGCCATAAAAAGGATGAGTTCATGTCCTTCGCAGGGACATGGATGTAGCTGGAAGCCATCATTCTCAGCAAATGGACACAGGAACAGAAAATGAAACACCACATGTTCTCACTCATAAGTGGGAGTTGAACAATGAGAACACATGGACACAGGGAGGGCAACATCACACACTGGGACCAGTTGGGGGTGGGGGAAAAGGGGAGAGATAGCATTAGGAGAGATATCTAATGTAGATGACTGGTTGATGGGTGCAGAAAACCACCATGGCACATATCTATGTAGCAAAACTGCACATTCTGCACATGTATCCTAGAACTTAAAGTATAATTAAAAACAAACCAACAATAACAACAGGAATAACATGATCATCTCAATCGGTAGAAAGCATTTGACAAAATGCAGCATCCCTTTATGAATAAACTCAGCAAAATAGGCATATGGGTGACATTCCTTAATGTAATAAAAGCCATCTATGACAAACCTACAGCCAACACGATACTGAATGGAGAAAAATTGAAAGCCTTACCTCTGAGAACTGGAACAAGACAAGGATGTCCACTCTTACCACTCCTCTTTAACATAGTTCTGGAAGTGCTAGCCAGAGCAATTAGACAAGAGAAAGAAGTAAAGGCATCCAAATTGGTCAAGAGGAAGTCAAACTGTCAGTGTTTGCTGATGATCGTTTACCTTGAAAACCTTGAAGACTTCTCGGGAAAGCTACTAGAACTGATAAAAGAATTCAGCAATGTTTCCAGATAGATTAATGTACACTAATCAGTAGGTCTTCTATGCACCAACAGCAACCAAGCTGAGAATGAAATCAAGAACTCATCCCTTTTACAATAGCTGCAAAAAAGTTAAAATACTTAGGAATCTATTTAACCAAAGAGTTGAAAGACCTCTACAAGGAGAACTACAAAACAGTGCTGAAAGAAATCATAGATGACACAAACAAATGGATACACATTCCATGCTCATGGATGGGTAGAATCAATATTGTGAAAATGACTGTATTGCCAAAAACAATTTACAAATTTAATGCAATCCCCATCAAAATACCACCATTATTATTCACAGAATTAGAAAAAACAATTCTAAAGTTCATGTGGAACCAAAAAACGGCCCATATAGCCAAAGCAAGACTAAGCCAAAAGGACAAATCTGGCCATATCACACTACCTGATTTCAAACCATGCTTTAAGACCATAGTCACCAAAACAGTATGATATTGGCATAAAAATAGCGCATAGACCAGTGGAACAGAACAGAGAACACAGAAATAAACCAAATATCTACATCCAACTGATTTTTGACAAAGCAAACAAAAACATTAAGTGGATAAAGACACCCTTTTCAACAAATGGTGCTGGGATAATTGACTAGCCACATGTAGGAGAATGAGACTGGATCCTCATCTCCACCTTATACAAAAATCAACCAAGATAGATTAAGGACTTAATCCTAAGACCTGAAACTATAAAAATTCTAGAAGATAACATTGGAAAAACACTCAAAGACATTGGCTTAGGCAAGGATTTCATGACCAGGAACCCAAAAGCAAATGCAATAAAAACAAACATTAGCTGGGACCTAATTAATCTAAGGACGTTTTGTACACCTAAAGAATGTCAACAGAGTAAACAGATAACGCACAGAGTGGGAGAAAATCTTCACAATCTATACATCTGATTAAGGACTAATTCAGAGTCTACAACAAACTCAAGCAAATCAGTAAGAAAAAAATCCCATCAAAAAGTGGGCTAGGCCGGGCGCGGTGGCTCAAGCCTGTAATCCCAGCACTTTGGGAGGCCGAGGCGGGTGGATCACAAGGTCAAGAGATAGAGACCATCCTGGTCAACATGGTGAAACCCCGTCTCTACTAAAAAATATACAAAAAATTAGCTGGGCATGGTGGCACGTGCCTGTAATCCCAGCTACTCAGGAGGCTGAGGCAGGAGAATTGCCTGAACCCAGAAGGCGGAGGTTGATCGCACCATTGCACTCCAGCCTGGGTAACAAGCGCGAAACTCCGTCTCAAAAAAAAAAAAAAAAAAGTGGGCTAAGGACACAGATAGTTCTCAAAAGAAGGTATAGAACTGGCCAACAAACACATAAAAAAAAAATGAACATTACTAATGATCAGGGAAATGCAAATCACAACCACAATGAGATACCATGTTACTCATGCAAGAATGGTCATTATCAAAAAAATTAAAAAAAAAACAGTAGATGTTGGCGTGGATGCCGTGAACAGCGGACACTTCTACGCTGCTAATACAGCCAGCAGTGTACTGAAAACTCATACAGCCACTATGGTAAACAGTGTGGAGATTCCTTAAAGAACTAAAAGTAGAACTATCATTTGATAGTTGTATTAAATAAGCATTTGATCCATCAATCCCACTACTGGGTATCTACCCAGAAGAAAAGAAGTAATTAGTTGAAAAAGATACTTGTACATGCATGTTTATAACAGCACAATTCACAATTGCAAAAACGTGGAACCAACCCAAATGCCCATCAATCAAGTGGATAAAGAAACTTGTGTTATTTTTTGTGCAGTAATTCAGGAATGGAAAATCAAACATCATATGTTCTCACTAATATGTGGGAGCTAAGCTATGATGATGTAGACCTAAGAATGATACAATGGACTTAGGGTACTTAACGGAAAGAGTGGGATGGGGGTGAGGGATAAAAGACTACAAATAGGGTGCAGTGTATACAACTCAGGTAATGTGTGAACAAAATCTCACAGATCACTGCTAAAGAACTTACTCATGTAACTACCACCTGTACTCCAATAACTTATAGAAAAATAAAAGTAAATAAATAAAATTACATTTAAAAAGATAACACTTTAATGTTTGCTTTTTAAGTATCTTGTTTATAAAAATAGACCTCATTTCTTTAGAGCCGTTTTCAGTTCACAGCAAAATTGAACAGAGGTATAGAGGTTTCCCATATCTCTCTCCCCTCACATTCATGCAGCCTTCCCCGGTATCAAAATCGTACACCAGAGTGGTGTATTTGTTAATTAATGCATTTACACTGACACACTGTATACATCATTGTATTAGGGTAATTGTGCCTTAATAGATTGAGTTAGGAAGTACTTGCTCTGCTTCTATTTTCTGAATGAGATTGTAGAAAATTGGTATAATTTCTTCCTTAAATATTTGGTAGATTTCACCAGTGAATCTATCTGGCCCAAGTGATTTCTGTTTTGAAGGCTATTAATTACTAATTCAATTTCTTTAATAATAGTGCTGTTCAACTTATGTATTTCTTCTTGTGTGAGCTGTGGTAGATTTGTTTTTTAAGGAATTGGTTCATTTCATTTAGGTTACCAAATTTGTGAGCAAAGAGTTGTTTAAAATGTTTCTTTATTTTCTTTTTAATGTTCATGAGATTGATAGTGATGTCCCCTCTTTTATTTCTCATGTTAGTAATTTGTGTCTTCTCTCTGTTTTCTTAGCCTGCCTGGAGGCTCATTTATTTATTGATCTTTTCAGCGAACTAACTCTTGGTTTCATTCATTTATTTTCTTTTGTAAATTTCATTGATTTCTGCTTTAACTTTATTGTTTCCTTTTTTTGTGCTTTTAATATGCTCTTCCCTAACCTCAACCTCCTTGTTTCCTAAGGTAGAAGTTTAGATGATCAATTTTAGATCTTTCTTCTTTCTAATATACAGATTCAGTGCTGTAAATTTCCTCTAAGCACTGCTGTTTCTGTATCCCACAAATTTTGTTGTGTTTTCATTTTGATTGTGTTCAAAATATTTAAAACATTTTCTTCGCATTTCTTTTTGCTTTCTGTGTTATTTTGAAGTGTGTTGTTTAATCTCCAAGTATTTTGAGATCTTCCAGCTATCTTTCTGTTGAATGTTTATGTTAGTCTAAGATAATATCAATCTGATTCTTTTTTCTACTTTTCCCATATATCTTTGTGTGGGGAGCAGGATGTTGTCATAAACTTTCTCAGCTAACTTCTGGATGATCAATTTAACTCAGAGTTAATAAGTTCAATCACTTTATTTTCTTCTGCTTCAAACAATTCTACCTTTATTATGCTCAGCATAACTTTATTTTAAAGGAAGAAGATTCCCTTTTTAAATATTTTATTTTATGTTTTATTTTGGATTCGGGGGTACATGTGCAGATTTATTACATGGGTATATTGTGTGATGCTTAGGTTTGGGCTTATAATGATCCTGTCACCCAAATAGTGAACATAATACTGATAGGTAGTTTTCAACCCTTGTATCCCCCTGTCTTCCACGATGGAGTCCTCAATGTCTATCATTCCCATCTTTGTGTCTGGATGTACCCAAATTTTACCTCCCACTTATAAGTGAGAACATGGTGTATTTCATTTTCTGTTTCTGCACTAATTTATATATGATGATGGCCTCAAGCTGCATCCAAGTTCCTGCAAAAAACATGATTCTGTTCTTCTTCATGGTTGTGTAGTATTCCACGATGTATAGGTACCATGTTTTCATCATCCAATTCACTACTGATGGGCACCTAGGTTGATTCCTTGTCTTTGCTATTTTGAATAGTCCTGTAAGGAACATACAAGTGCATATGTCTTTTTGGTAGAACAATTTGTTTTCCTTTGAGTATATACCCAGAAATGGGATTGCTGGTAATTCTGTTTTCAAATGGTAATTCTAATTTTGGTTCTTTGAGAAAACTCTAAACTGCTTTCCACCAGGACTGAACTAATTTGCATCCCCACCAACAGTGTATAAGCATTCCCTCTCTGCAAACTCACCAACATCTGTTATTTTTTGACTTTTTTATAATAGCCATTCTGACTGGTGTGAGATAGTGTTCACTGTGGTTTTGATTTGCATTTACTTATCTGATGATTAATGATGTTGAGTTTTTTTTTAATATGTTCATTAGCTTCTTGTATGTCTTCTTTTGAGAAGTGTCCACTTTCTATTGGTGCTATTTGTTTCATTCTTGTTGATTTAAGTTTCTTATAGATTCTGGATATTAAGCTTTGTCAGATGCATAATTTGCAAGTATTTTCTCTCATTCTGTAGGTTGTCTCTTTACTCTGTTGATAGTTTCGTTTGCTGTGCAGAAGCTCTTAGTTTAAATATGTCCCATTTGTCTATTTTTTCTTTTTTTTGCATTTGCTTTTGGAGTCTTCATCATAAATTATTTGCCTAGGACAGTGTTTAAAAGGGTATTTCCTAGCTTTTCTTCGAGGGTTATTATAATTTGAGGTCTTACATTTAAGTCTTTAATCCATCTTGACTTAATTTTTATATAAGATAAGAGATCAGTGCCTATTTTCATTCTTCAGCATATGGTTAGCCAGTCTTTTAAGTACCATTTATTGAATAGAGTAACCTTTACCCATTGTCATTTTTGTTGATTTTGGTAAAGAGGAGTTGATTGTAGGTGTGTGGCTCTACTTTTGGTTTCCACTTTCTGTTTTATTGGTCTATCTATTTTTGTACCATTTCCATGCTTTTTTAGTTACTATGGACTTATAGCATAGTTTGAAATTAGGTAATGTGATGCTACTGGCTTTTTTCTTTTTACTTAAGATTGCCTTAGCTATTTGGGCTCTTTTTTGGTTCCATATGAATTTGAGAATAGTTTTTTCTAATTCTGTGAAAAGTGACATTGGTAATTTGATAGGAATCGTATTGAATCTGTAGATCGGTTTGGGCAATATGAATATTTTAATGATATTGATTCTTCCAACCCATGAACATAGAATAGTTTTCCATTTGCTTGTATCATCTACATATCTATCTCATTTTTTTCCCTAAGTATTTTATTTTTTTGTGGCTATTGTAAGTGAAATTGCATTCTTGATTTGGTTCTCATCTTTGGTGTGTAGAAATGTTGCTAATTGGCTAGGCATGGTGGTTCATGCCTGTAATCCCAGCACTTTTGGAGGCTGATGCAGGTGGATCACAAGGTCAGGAGATCAAGACCATCCTGGCTAACATGGTGAAACCCTGTCTCTACTAAAAGTACAAAAATTAGCCAGGAATGGTTGCATGTGCCTATAGTTCCAGCTACTTGGGAGGCTGAGACTGGAGAATTGTTTGAACTTGGGAAGTGGAGGCTGCTGTGAGCCAAGATTGCACCACTGCACTCCAGCCTTGGAGACAGAGTGAGACTCCATGTCAAAAACCAAACCAAACAAAACAGAAATTCTGCTGATTTACGTATGTTGATTTTGTATCCTGAGACTTTGTTGAAGTTGTTTATCAGGTCTACAAGTCTTCTGGCAGTCTTTAGGGTTTTCTAGGTCTAGAATCATATTGTCAGTGAATATAGATAACTTGACTTCCTTTTTTTTTTTTTAATGTGGCTGCCTTTTATTTCTTTCTGTCATCTGATTTCTCTGGCTAGGACTTCTAGTACTATATTGAATAGCAGTGGTGACATCCTTGTTTTGTTTCAGTTCTCAAGGGGAATGCTTCCAGCATTTACCCATTTACTGTGAATTTGTCATAGATGACTCTTATTGTTTTGAGGTACGTTCATTGAATTCCTAGTTTGTTACTTTTTTTTTTTTTTTTAATCATGAAGGGATGTTGGATTTTATGCAAAGCTTTTTCTTTATCTATTGAGATGGTTATTTGTCTTTTTTTTTTTTTTTTGAGATGGGGTTTCGCTATTGTTACCCAGGCTGGAGTGCAATGGCATGACCTCGGCTCACCGTTCCTCCGCCTCCTGGGTTCGGACAATTCTCCTGCCTCAGCCTCCTGAGTAGCTGGGACTACAGGCACGCGCCACCATGCCCAGCTAATTTTTTGTATTTTTAGTAGAGACAGGGTTTCACCATGTTGACCAGGATGGTCTCGAACTGTTGACCTCGTGATCCACCTGCCTCAGCCTCCCAAAGTGCTGGGATTACAGGCTTGAGCCACCACGCCCGGCCCTTGTCTTTTGTTTTTAATTCTGTTTGTGTGATGAATCACATTTCTTAATCTATGTCTCTTGAACCATCTTTGCATCCCAGGAATAAAACCCACTTGATCATGGTGAACTAACTTTTTAACATACTGCTGGATTCAATTTGCTAGTATTTTGAGCATTTTTGCATCTACGTTCATCAGAGATATTGGCCTATAGTTTTCTTTTTTTGCTGTGTGCCTTTGCCAGATTTTGGTATCAGGATGACACTGGTTTTGTAGAATGAGTTAGGGAAGGTTCCCTTTTCCTCAGTTTTTTTGGAATAGTGTCAGTAGGATTAATACCTGCTCTTTGTACGTCTGGGAGAATTTGGCTATGAATCCATCTGGTCCAGGAGTTTTGTGGTTGGTAGGTTTTTTTTTCCTTTTTATTACTGATTCATTTTTATTACTTCTTATTAGTATGTTTAGTATTACTGTTTATTCCTGGTTCAATCTTGAGAGGTTGAATGTTTCCAGGAATGTATCCATTTTCTCTAGATTTTCTAGTTTGCATGCATAGTGGTGTTCATAGTAGTTTATGAGGATATTTGTATCTCTGTAGGATCAGTTGTAATGTGACCTTTGTCATTTCTAATTGTACTTATTTGGATCTCTCTTTTTTTCTTGATTATTCTAGCTATCAGTCTATCAATCTTGATAATCCTTTCAAAGAACCAATTTTTCATTGATCCTTGTATGTTTTTTGTGGGGGATCTCAATTTCTTTTAATTCTATGATTTTAGATACTTTTCTTCTAGCTTTAGGTTTAGTTCTTGCTCTTCTATTTCTGTTAGGTGCAAGGTTAGGTTGTTTTTGTCTTCTTTATGAAGACATTTAGCAGTATAAACTTTCCTGTTAATACTGCATTTGCCACATCACAGAGGTTTTGGTGTATTGTGTTCCTATTTTCTTTTGTTTAAAAAAGTTTTTTGATTTCTGCCTTAATTTTGTTTTTTACCCAAAAGTCATTTAGGGGCAAGTTGTTTAATTTCCATGTATTTATGTGGTTTTGAGAGTTCCTCTTAATATTGATTTCTATTTTTATTCCACTGTGGTCTGAGAAGCTACTTAGTATAATTTTGATTTTTTGAATTTATTGAGCGGTATAAATGCTCTGCTTAAAAGACATAGAGTGGCAAATTAAACAGCAAAAAAAGACGCATCATGCTGTCCTCAAGAGCATCATCTTACAATTAATGATGCCCAAAGGCTCAAAGTAAAGGGTTGAAGAAAGACTGTCATGCAAATGACAAACTTTAAAATAGACTTTTTAAACCTGCAACGGTAAAAACAGACATAGAAGGGCATCACATAATGATAAAGTGTTCAATTAAACAAGGAGAGTTAAGTATTGTAAATATATGCGTGTCCAACATTGGCAAAGCAAATTATTGTTAAAGGGGTTGCAGAATTGTTATTAAAGCAAGTTATGTTAAAGGGGTAGAGAATTATATGTTGAGACTTGACTTATGTCCAAGCATGTGGTCAGTCTTAGAGGATGTTCTGTGTGCAGAACAATTACTGAAACAAACCAAAATAGAGACACAATACACCAAAACCTCTGGGATGCAGCAAAAGCAGTATTAAGAGGAAAGTTTATATGCTAAACGCCTTTATAAGGAAAGCATAAAACAACCTAACCTGTGCCCAGCAGAAGTACATTGGTAAAGCAATTACTTCTAGACCTAAGGAAAGACTTTGGCAACCACAGAACAACAGAGGAGGCTTCAACAACCCACTGACAGCATTAGACAGATTATCGAGACAGAAAACTAACAAAGAAATTATGAACTTAAATTCAACACTTTACCAATTGGGCCAAACAGACATCTACAGGCTACTCCACCCAGCAACCACAGAATATGCATTCTTCTCATCTGCATGCAGAACATTCTCTAAGACTGATGACATGCCTGGACATAAATCAAGTCTCAAGATACCTTAATGGCAATTCTGCAGCCCCTTATCCAAGTCAGAAATGTAGAGGTTCTCCTAATTTTTTCTCAGTCCCTCAGCTGCACGTATGTAACTGGTAACCAAACTTATCAATTAAGGCTGGGCATTTCGCTCAAGCCTGTAATCCCAACTTTGGGAGGCTGAGTCAGGAGGATTGCTTGAATCCAGCTGTGTAAGACCAGCCTGAGCAGCATATGAGATCCTGTCTCTACCAAAAAATTTTAAAAAATTAGCTGGTTGTGGTGGCATGTATCCGTTGTCTCAGCTACTTAGGAGACTGAAGTGGGAGGACCCCTTGAGTCCAGGAGGTCGAGGTTACAGAGAGCTGTGATACGCCACTGAACTCCAGTGTGAGTGGTAGAGCAAGACCCTGACCCAAAACAAAAACAAAGCAAACAAAAACTTATCAATTATACATTTGAGGTAGTTCTCTGTCCCTTTCTCTCAATTCCAATTTTTACTAAGTTCAAATCTTCTTCATATCTTAACCTGAACTATAAGAGTAACCTCCTACTTCATTCTCCTACTTTTAGCTTTATTTCTCTCATTACATACATATGTAATTATTTATTTAATTTATTGAGAGAGGTCTTGTTCTGTCACCCAGGCTGGAGTGCAGTGGTGCGATCATGGCTCACTATAGCCTCCCTCTCCCGGGCTCAGGTGATCCTCCCACCTCAGCCTCCCAAGTAGCTGGAACTGCAGGTACATGCCACCATACCTGGCTATTTTTTGTATTTTTTGTAGAACTGGTGTTTTGCCATGTTGCCCAAGCTGGTCTTGAACTCCTGGCCTCCAGTGACCTACCTTCCTTGGCCTCTCAAAGTGTTGGGATTACAGGCATGAGCCACCATGCTCAGCCCATAACATAAATGTCAATTATATTATCAGAACATTAATTATAACATTAGTATAACAGTAGATCTTTACATATGTAATATCTATGTATAACATATATCACATATATCAAACATAACATATATTAATTATGTTTAACAATCTTTTGTAATGTAAAAGACAGGCAAACACAAATGTTGGCAAGGATGTGGAGAAAAGAGAACCCTCTTTCACTGTTGGTGGAAATGTAAATTAGTACAACCACTGTGGAGAATGGTTTGGAATTTGCTCGAAAAACTAAAAATGGAGCTACCATGTGATCTGGTAATCCTACTGCTAGGTATATTCCTCAAAGAAAGGAAATTAGTATATCAAAGAGATGTTTGCATTTATTGCAGCACTATTCACAATAAGCAAGATTTGGATGCAATCTCATTGTCCATCAACAGATGAATAGATAAAGAAAATGTGATTCATATACACAATGGAGTACTATTCAGCCATAAAAAAGAATGAGATCCTGTCATATGCAGCAACATGGATGAAAGTAGAGGTCATTATGTTACGTGAAATACACCAGACACAGAAAGATAAACTTCACATTTTCATTTATCCGTGGGAGATAAAACAATTGAATTCATGGAGATAGAGAGTAGAATGGTAGCTATCAGTGGTTGGGCAGGGTCGTGGGTAAGGGGGAAGTGGTGATGGTTAATGTGTACAAAAATACAGTCTGAATAAGATCTAGTATTTGATAGCACAACTGGGTGATTACGGTCAACAATAATTTATTTACATTAAAAGTAGCTAAAAGAGTATATCTGATTGTAACATAAAGAAAACATAAATGCTTGAAGTGATGGATTAAAAAAAAGTTCTAAGCAGCTTAAAGTTCTTCCTAATGCCTAGCGGACAAGTGCAGACCCCTTAACAGAGCATACTTCATCCTTTTAATCTTATCCCTTATACTATGACTCTTGCCTTCATTCCCAGAAATTTGGTTGCCATCCTGTAGGCAAAAAGTGAGCATACTTCTGCATGCTCCTCAAGGTCTCCTTGCTGTGAAGTCTTCCTAGAACGTTCCTTTCCTTCTTGTCAATTTCCTTGCCCCTCTCTTGTTTGTCCGCAGCTCCTTACTTCACAACTCTTTCAGTGTTTCTCATATTTGGTTTCAGGTAGCTGTTTATATATATGCATCATCTCTTGCTGTGAGCTCCTTGAAGAACTGTGTTTTATTCATCTTTGTTTTTCTTAGCTAAGAGTCTTGCAGGTAATAGGTGCTCAGCAAATGTTTGTTGAATGAAAATTGAGTTAGAAAAGCAGTCCAGTAATGTGGCCTTATTAAATCTGTACCATGCAGACCAAAGGAATTTTGTCTGAGGGAGAACGGCAAGGATTGGTGGAGATTCTTGAGACTAGAATGGAAATAAGCTAAAGGGGAGTTCCAGTCTCACACAGGTCCCTGGAGGCACATAGTTGATGCCTTAAGATGAGTAAGGTTTAAAACTTGATTCATATGAATCTTTATTTTATTTCTCAGGAATTTTCCCCAGGGTATAAACATTGAGATTTTGTTAGGCAGATCCTTATTCCAAAAAAGAATGCCAATTTGTGTTTTGTTTGGAATTGTGGTCCCTCTTTACCTTATTTCAATAACTTTTGTGCTTTTTGATGCTTTCATTTAGCTGATATCAAAATATCAATAAAATCTTTTCTTGGCAATGTTAACAACTCCCCCAAGAATCTCACAGGCCCTACTCTCTTCTCAACATTCCTATTCTCTCTGACTTTTCCCCATCTATTCTAGGACTTTAGTAGCGTTTCCCTGTAATAGAGCTATGTAGGCTGGCATGGGCCTCCTCTAGACTGAGTTACTAGAGGGCAGACAGGTGCCAATTTCATGAAGTTCTCTCCTATAGGACCTAGTAAAGTGATTTGAATAACAGAGACATTTAGAAATGTCTAGAAACAGAGGTCTTACTAAATGGGCTGGGTTTCTTAATAGGGTTAAGATATGGGTGACTGGAGGCGGAGGTTGCGGTGAGCCGAGATCGAGCCATTGCACTCCAGCCTGGGTAACAAAAGCGAAACTCTGTCTCCAAAAAAAAAAAAGTGTTAGGTGAATAAATAATTTAATAATGACAATGGCCTAATAAAGGTAGTGCTGAGGGAAACAATGATCTCAGGAGTAATTCAGAGATATTCTTGCTTGAAAAGGTTTGAGTAGGTTATGTGGTTTAAACATTATATTATTTAAAAACTCAATTACCTATAGCAACTGTATTGGATTGAAAGGACATCTTGTGTTGATCAGCAATGTGAGGGAAGCTGCTGCTGGAAAGAGGAAAGGAACCAGTGTTTGGAGGGAGGCCGTGGAACAAGATAGAAAATCCTCAAGGGCAGCTGTCCATGTGCACTCCTGGAAAGAGTCAGGGAATGGAGGGAGGGCAAGGCTTCTGTTGCAAATAACTCAACTAGCCAGCCACTCATTGAGCCAGCCACAGTGTGTGTAGGGAGAGTAATTTCTGAGAAAAATAGAGGAAAACATTTTTTAAAAAACTTTAAGCACTTTAAAAGCAACTGTGGGAAGTTGTAATCATAGGGTGGTTCTTTCTTTCTGAAAGAAGAAAGGCATTTCAATTTTAAATTCAGTGGGTTGAAATGATTGTGTCATTTCAGCTAGAGAGGAGCATGTCAGCGAGTGGAAATGTTTTATTATGGAAAGTATGACTTGAAGATGTCACATTTTAAATTTAAAAAAAGCAAATAATTTCTGTTGTTGGTTCCTCCACAAGAACACATAGCACTTTGCTGCATTTAGAAGAAAAAGTAAAAATATCAAGCATCATATTCACCATTGACGTAGAAATAGAGGTCTTACTAAATAGGCTGGGTTTCTTACTATGGTTAAGATATGCAGAAAACAGAACAAAGACGGCCCCTTAGGAGATAAACTTTGCTTAGTGGTATTGTGGACTATTAGCCTGTGAGTTTATTTAAGTATGCATGCTTTGCTTATGGGAGTTGGCGGATAAAAAGAGATACTGACTAAATTGTAACGCCCTTGTTTCCAACTCCCTGTCTTACTTATCACTAAAGCATCCTTTATAGTTCATTGACCTGTTAGACATTTGATACAAATTTGCTGAGTCAACAGATTTTAGGATGTTTGGAATATGTCTGCATTACTCATTTAGAGATGTCATTAGCCACCAGTAAGTAATTAATAATGGTAATAAAAGTACTGTTTTTTTAAAAAAAAGATTAACATAGAAATTAGAGGTGTAAACCGATGACTTTATTAACTGTCTTCTTGAAGCTGGCATGATTACATGTTTGAACTAACCTGTAGTTTGTAGAATATAACAATTTTCAGGATAGTGTCCTTTTGCAGAACAATCAGACCCAATAGTCAGATTAACCCTGCCCAGATATGAAGAAACATTCAGAATCATGAAGCTCTAAAGGTTGTTAGTTATGACTAAAAGGTGTAGAATGAAGAAACTCCTGGTTGGGGTAATTAGTTGTACTCTTTATTTAGCTAATTGAAAGATACAGCTAATTAGACATTTATTTTGCTGACATGAGACCTTTTCTGAAGTGATTTTTCCACTTCCACGGTCAGAACTTTAGGCAAATCCCTTTCTTTTGTAGCCAGGCCTTACATGCATGGCATTTTTTTCCCCTTAGGAGAATATGTGTATGTCTGTCATGTAAGGCATATTGTTCATAGTTTTTTTCTAGGTGTGTGACATGGTTTTTTTCCCTGCAGAATTTTCATTCATAACCCAAGATTCTTCATTAGTAGTAATAAATTACTTATGCCTCATAATGGCCTACTCTTGGAGCATGCTGGACATAGAGTACAGATGTTAATTTTTTTTATCATAGATATTCTGAAGATAATTAAACTAGTGTTTTGTTTTTTGAGAGGGATTCTCACTCTGTTGCCCAGGTTGGAGTGCAGTGGCACAATCTAGGCTCATGGCAGCCTCTACCACCTGGGTTCAAGCAATTCTCCTGCCTTAGCCTCCCGAGTAGCTGGGATTATAGGCACCTACCACCATGCCCAGCTAATTTTTTCTATTTTTAGCAGAGATGGGGTTTCGCCACATTGGCCAGGCTGGAGTTAAACTTCTGACCCAGGGCCGGGCGCGGTGGCTCAAGCCTGTAATCCCAGCACTTTGGGAGGCCGAGGCAGGTGGATAACGAAGTCAACAGATCGAGACCATCCTGGTCAACATGGTGAAACCCCGTCTCTACTAAAATTACAAAAAATTAGCTGGGCACGGTGTTGCATGCCTGTAATCCCAGCTACTCTGGAGGCTGAGGCAGGAGAATTGCCTGAACCCAGGGGGCGGAGGTTGCGGGGAGCCGAGATCGCGCCATTGCACTCCAGCCTGGGTAACAACAGCGAAACTCCGTCTCAAAAAAAAAACTTCTGACCTCAAGTGATCTGACTGCCTTGGCCTCCCAAAGTGCTGGGATTACAGGCGTGAGCCCCTGCCCCCGGCCTAGTTTCATCTTTTTTCGTGACATTTCTGTTTAGGGAAGTCTGTTGGGGTTTTGTTTGTTTGTATGTTTTGGTTGTATCACCTCATCGAATACATTGTTGCAACCTGGAGTTATTCTCTTCAGTAGGGCGATCTCTTCCCACTTAGGAGGTTTGGATTCTGACTGCCTGGATTCCAATTCCAGTCCTGCTATTTACTACCTGCATGGCCTCAGTTTAGCATCTCTACTGCTCAAACCCTCGAAGTCTCAGTTTCCTCCTTTGTAACATGTGGAAAATAATACGCTGTTGAGAATTAAATGAGATGCACTGAAGGACCTTAGCTGCCCATAGCAGCACATAGGAAACAGTCTATAATTATTGTGATCACTGTAGTTGTTTATGTCTCTTCTCCTTTGTTCAGCCTTCCTTCTTATGATTTTTTTTCCCTCAAATCAACTCACTCAATAGTTCCGATATATTTTTCTGCTAATTAATTTCCTTTGTATATGTGAATATAGAGCATGACATAAAGTAGGGTCTGATTTCCATGTGAAGTTTTTAGAATAGATCCCATCATATACCTTCTACAATACATATAGAGCATCAAAACAGTTTCCCATGTGAAACAAACCTAGGCATACTCTCTTGTGATGATTTACGTGCTTTCCAGTGTGTTCCTGGATATTTGCCTCTCATCCTTGCATGCATTTCCTCACATCTCTAACGTGTGCTTTCTCCTTTGCTCCTGCGTCACCTTCCTTCTCTGGTTTCTAGCTATTGATGTTTTTATTCCCTTGCCGTGCATTAGAATTAACATCATTTTCTAATATTGCTTCTTTGTGAAGCTTATCACCTTTCTATGCTGTGTCCCAAATACTCTATGTTCAAACCATTGAGGCTGCACAAGGAGCAGAAGTCACACTAATTCAGGGATGGAGGTGAGGTGGGAGAAAAGAATAGGCTGGTCCTGCTCCTCCACTCCCGTTTCTGATGTGGGCAACTTCCCTGCTGTCCTATGTGCTGGTGACAAGGAAGAGACACGAAGGAATTGCAGGAGTTCTGTTTTCCAGGTGCTTCCCAATACCCACTGGATGACATCCAAGCTCCTAAATATGGTGCACGTATTCCCCAAGATCTGGGCCCTTGCAGCCCATCTTCCCACTTTAAAATGTGTTCTCTGGTGATACTGTCTTGCAGTTCCTGGCACATCATATCCTGCTTTGAATTTATTTGTCTTTGCTTCTTGTGTAATGTTTGTCTGTCCATGTTTACCTTGCCAACTCCAAGTCTCCAATTCATTCTTCCAAGCTCAGCACACAGCTTGCCTCCTCTGGGAAGCCACCTTTGAGGCTTTTCCCTTCTTCCTACTGAGCCAAGTACCCTCCTTTCCTTTGGATTCCACTGCATTCTGGGTATAGCTCTGTCATTATACACCCCGTTACTTTGGAGTGATCTGTGTATGGGTATGTTTTTTCTGCTGGAATAAATTCCGTGAGAGCAGGGACCACATATTATTCATCTCCGTACCTGCCCCCCTCAATCTAGCATGCTATGTGGTTCAGTGTAGAAGAGCCAGAGTTATCTGTAGACCTCTTAAGTTGACCTCACTGGGATCCGTGGGATGAAGGCAGTGATGAAGGAATTCTTACTTCCTTTCATGGCGCTTGCCTGATAGTGACCTGACTTTGAATTTCTTTCAGACAATGAAACTGGACAGATAATAATTTAGTTAGTTCTTCTCCAGTTTGCAGTCTTGTTCCAGAAGTGACTATTTTAAAAGGTGGGTCATATATTTATATAATTTGTAGATTTTTTTCTTATGTCATGGTATAGCTTGTTTGTCAACCACATGTATTTCCCATTTACTCATTTCTTCGACAGAACACATAATAAGATGACGGACTTTCTAAACACGTGAGACAAATGCCTACAAAATGCCTGAAACAAAATGGTCCATGCAGCAGATTTTCTCATAGAAGAAACCCATAGACACATAATAGAATGCCTCTCAGTACAAAAACAAACAAGCAATTACCTGTGCTGCTTCCTGTGGGAAACTCAGCGTCCTACCACCCATGGTGATGACTTCTGTGATTTTGTAGAGGAGTTACATTATTCTAAGGAAATTCATTCATATGTTTCTCAACAAATATACATTTTACTTTCTTGGACAGAAAACAAAGTATATGTTTTTGTTCAAATTTATTTTCCTCTTTCTCTTTTGTTTCTTAAAAATAAATATTCAACATGCAATTTTTAATAACAGTACAAAAGACTGAATGGTAGTCATCACAGGCTGATAGTGGGGAGGGAACTGTGTGTTCAAGACACATCTGGAATATTTGTGATGTGGTAGTTGCCTAGCGTGTCTCCCTCTGGGCCTTGACATTAAACAATGCCTTCTAGAATTTGAGTCAAGATATGTTTACACTGCAGATGTGTATTGTTATTAGCCTGGTAAAAATCATATTTGATGAATTTGCTCCTAGTTTTTCTCTTTGTTATAAGAGCTCTTCCTTTCTTATGTTAATCCAACATTGTCAAGAATATTATGAGAATGGAGACTTGAAATGAACCATATTTGGAAATACCAGTGAGAAAAGGTTTTGAAAATTCAAAAGGTGAAAAATATATCTAGCCCCTGTAGATAAATGTCTATGGTGTGAATTGGTAACTCAATATAACTTTCATTTTTTAAATTTTTCATTATAAATTGTCAATTTATAATTCTATAAACTTATGGGGTACAAAGTGACATTACAGAGGATGGAAAGAAGATGATCAAAGGGTCAAAATCTCACTAAGCCATGAGGAATATATATACGTGTGTGTGTATATATGTATATATGTATATATATATGTGTGTGTGTGTGTATATATGTATATATATGTGTGTGTGTATATATGCATATATACATATATACACACACACATATATTTAGCTCTATTGCACAGTGTGGCAAATATTGTTAAAAATAAAGTATTGTATAGTTCAACATAATTTTGAGAGTAGCAAGAATCCTGATTTTGTATTTTTCCACTTAATAGTAGATAACATACTAGTCATTTTCAGTTTGTACCTTCCAATCAAATTTTGCCATCATTTTCTTTGAGTATGTGGAAGAATCATCAATTCATCTAGAGCTTTTTGTAGAAAATTATCTATTTGAATTAAAAAATATCCTCGTTTCACTTTAACCTGAAAATTTCTATATTTGTTGTTTTAGTGATGATAAAGTTTTATGAAATTTGAAGTTTAACAGAAATTGCTAATTTTGAAAGGTATATTTTAGATATACCTAAATTTGTGTCTCTCTAGTCCTCATAATTTGTACTTTCTATCCTGAAATCACTATAAGATTTTAATAGAGAGTCTTTAAAGTTCCATTTCATAAGTAATATTTTTTCAAGTGGCTACAGAAACTCTCTGCTAATGCAGAGAAGAAAACACTTTGAGTCCATGATTATTAATATATTCTTCTTGATTATATGGTTTGCTCTTCATACCCTCTAGATGCTCAGTTGCAGAAAAAAAAATGTGATCCTTTAACTATAGGGTTAGAACAAAGGCCCATTTTCTGCCCACTGCTTATAGAAGTTAAGAGACAAAATTTTACTTAGACAGCTGTGGTCTGATGGAGATGCGGGTGTTCAGAAATAGCTTGTGAATTTAAAGTTGCATTTAAAGTTGGCATTTCTGTCCAATTTGGTTGAGATTCTGAAAGCAGTTCCACATTTCTTCATCAGGAAGTCAGGCTGACTTGTGATGAAAGATGATGAAGACAAATCCTAAACAGGGCTTCCTGTTTGTTTAAACCCCCAACCCAGGAGAAAATCACTTCCAAGTTTCCCTGTACAATTATTGTAATATATTTTCTTTTCAGATTGTTAGCAGACTATTCAGTTTGTGCTTGGCATTTCAATTATAGTGAAAAAGGTGAAACCCAGAAGACTCGAGGAATTCTCATTAGGAGTCTGAAATTTGATAGACTTTTAAAATTAACCTCTGCTTCTTGTTCTGTCTCTAGTAAGCACATTATTCATTAAATCATAATGTATTGATTATCTGCTCTATGAGCAGTTATGAATTGGTTACTGTGATGGATAGAAAAGAGGAAAATATGGCTTTTGTCCTCAGAACTCTCTTACTAAGAAAAAAGACAGGTTAAAATACAGAGAAAAATTTCAATTTAAAGATGGCAACCACTTTTAAGGAAGGACTAGATCGTTCTCTTTCTAACATGAGTGCTTATGCAAAATGAGACATTTTGTTTTGCAAGTGACTTTTTGCAAACGGTAGGAAAGAGAGACAAAGGAATCAGGGAAGTGTAAAAGCTTTTGAAAAAGACTTAGATGCTTTTCCTAGAATGCTGGAACATCTAAACCATGTTTGCACAGAGGTAATTAACATAACCTTAATGTTAATTATACTTAATGTTATATGTGTTAATATATATAGCTAACATATACTAAGCATGTACTTCACGTTGACGACTGAGTACATGCTGTACTGGCGTTTCCTCATGTACCCCTGGGAATAGGCTTATGACATAGGTGGGATGCATTTCCTAGAAGAATAAATTGGGGAAAAGGTTAAGCAGTTTTTAAAATAATTGACACAAGTGTTTTAAAATAATTGACACAAGTGTCCATGCTTTAAACTTCTGCTCAAAGCTTTGCTTCTAAAGAACATTTTTTTTCCTTGCTTTTCACATTTTCATCTGCTTTCATTTCTTTTTGCCTTCTCTCATCTCTGTCATCTAATTTTCTCCCTTGATTTCTTAACTCTTCTTACACTTTCTCATAATATGTTGATGGTCTGTAAAAAATTTTCTTGTTTCACTGATGGTTCACTGAATGCTTCTGTTGCTGTTGTATTCAAAAGTATATACATGGATGGTTGCATTTTTTTACTTTTACAGTCTAATGCAGATATAAATATGCTGAATATATGTACTTTGTTTGCTTAGAAATGGAAATAAATATCAACTAAAGCCTAAATGATTCTTTTTCATAAAAAGGACAAAGAGAATATGAAGGAATAATACATTTATTGCTAAAAGCATTTGTCTGCACACATGCATGTGCGCGCGCACACACACACACACACACACACACACACAACCTGTTTTTTCTGGGGAACAAATGGTAGAGGTTCTGCGCATAAAGGATGGGCAACATGTTTGTTCATATTGTAGAGATGTCCAGAAAATTCTACCGACCATAAGGTAACTGTTTATTAGAAAACAAAGATTCCATGTTTCTGTCCATCAGTTTGTATCAACCTAGTGTGGCAGAGATCTTCTGAAGTTTTAGCCTTTTGAGATGTACACAAATTCTATCAAGAAACTCTCCATAGCACATGGCACTACCTTTATGATTGGAGTGCCAGTGACACTTGGTCATACTCACTTAGACTCTTAAACTAAAATGCTCTGTAGGGGACCCACTGGCCTTTCTAATGCACATCATTTTCAAATGGAACCATGGTCAGGATGAAGGCCAGGCTGCCATTGGAGAAAATATGATAAGTAACAATTTCAATGAAAAATCATGCTCTGCATGGCTGTAGAGGTAATTCAAAAGATGGATGGCCTTGATCAGGCCAAAAACCCTTCCAACTGTTCTATTGATCTCTTTAGTGCTTAAAAAGCCTTGTAATTTCAATGATTACATAACAATTTGGCATACATGAGTTCTCTGACAAGGTCCAGAATCTCAAATTGCAAAAATTAGTTTAACATGGAGTCCAGAATGAAGCAGGGCAAGTTTTTGCATCATTCCCGACCCTTACCAGCCAGTCATTAATGATCTTGCCCAATACAGAGTTCTGAAACGATTTCCCTTCTGGCTGTCTGAATAATTTACCTAGCAAGGTTAAAAAAATGTGCAAGAATATCTTTAATTGAACATCAAGCAACCTGTAATACCATGTATTCGTGAGAAATGATGCAGGGGAGATATTTTCAGACCTGTGTTCTGCTGTCTTCCCTGAGAAGTTTATGTATTGAGGGAAGAGATGGGCCCGCACAGGTCTAGTTTGGAAATACTGGAAGTCCACATACAATGTTGTCGAAAAAGTAATCCTGCTTCTAAAATTGTTTGAAGATTCACTGGATCAAATGAATATTTGCTACCATTTAAAAACTTCCATTTTATGTAACTAGGAAAAAGCAGACTATAAAACTAAAAGAACCAAATCAGTCCTTTAAAAATAAAATAAAATTTAAAAAAGCCAAAGTGAAACCAAGACCAACCCAAAAAAACCAAAAAGGCTGAATATATTTACAGGATTTTGTGTGTGGGGGTGTAAGCTTAAAAACGGAAACAAAATAGACACCAAGATGTGAACTGCTTGTTCTGCTCCATTTGGCTAAGTTCTTAAAGGTTACAGGAAGAGAGTGTACTTATTGCTTAAGATGATGATAATTCATATTAAAAAATAAATACAGGCATGTGAGCAGGAAGGGGAAATTGCTTCATTAATTACCTGGTTATCTTATCAGGCCTCTAGTTTTTTGGTTTTCTGGAATGCAGAGCAGGCTTCATGAACTGCTTTGGCAGCTGCTGGCCAAGCTGAGTGATTTGCAACACTCTGTTCACTCTGCGTTGATGTTTCATAATGTGGGTGTCTGCCTGGGTGTGTTGGTGCCACTCAGTGTACATCGCTTCTCTCAGCCAGTGGTCCAAGGAGGGGCCAAACTACCTCCCTCTGAACTTTCAGTTAGCACACAGTCTGTCCTGCTTGATCCTCTGTGGTCAGGGCAGCTCCTGATTCTAACCCCTACCCCGTAAGGCAAGCTCTAGAAACCAGAGTTTCTGAAAAAGAACAAGGAAGAGGTGATACCAGGTGAAACCATCAAAAGTTGTTTGCGGTGACATAAGCCCTTTGGGTTCAAGTGACCTTCTTGAAGTCATACAGTGGTTACCTCTTGCCGGGTGACTTTATTCTTTTATCTTTTGTAAAAATAAACATGTAGAAATTTTGTAATTCTTGTAAAAAGCCCACAGAATCTATGTTTCAAAAGAGAAGCAAATAATGCTAAAATGGAATGTAGTATATGTAATTAAAAATATTTATTTTTCCTTGAACTTGGGCAAAATAAATGATTGTATGGAGACTACTTATTTTCATAATTTAACTGCAGAGTTGGGCCTTAATATTATTATTACTTTTTTCCCTGGAATCTCTATGTTCAAAACCATTTCTTAATCTTCTAAAGCTGTGATATTTGTGAACTCAATTAGCACAATCTCTAAATGATGTGACTGGTAGTCCAAATTAAGATGATAAATTACAGTTACTTTCACAGACTGTGAATCTTGATCTTTTTTTCCCTCAGTCCAGAGGTGTTTTATTTTTTACACCTATTATGTAATGAGGAAGAGGTTCCAGCAGCCCAGGTTCCCCTCCCATTGGTTCTCACACAGTGTGCTTCTCTGGGTGGAGCACGCTGGTCTTTCAGGTGAACCCAGGTACTTTTCTCTTTGGCTTCCTTCTCTTTCTGATCATTTTCCTTCACCTATTTCAGGAAACTATCTTGGCTCTTAGAGTGCTTAATGTGCTCAGTCTGCACATTAATTCTCTTGGCAAGAATCTTGGCCTTCATTGTTTGTTCACAACAATGAACAGCATGCTAGCTAACATTCTAGACTCTTCCGGTTTTGTTGTGGCAACATTTGTGGGGCGTTCCTTTTTGAAGAGTACCCATTCCCTGGATATCTACAATATCACCTTTTTTACAGCTTCATGTGCGTGTGGCCAAAGGAACAACTCCATGTTTTCTAAAAGGCTGAGAGAACGTATGTTGGGTGCGTCTCCTCTTCCTCTTTGTGTTCTCCATTTTGGTGCAGCACTGGAAGAGGGCAGTTCCAGCTAAAGGAAGACCATCTCTTGATCTTAAAGGACGAGGCTTTATAATATCCAAGCAAATGGCCACAGTGGAAAATAATCTGTAATTCAAAATAATAAAGATAAATGTAATCATAAAAATAGTAACAATAATACTCAAGTACTCCACATTTTGCGTTTTTTGAAAAGAAAACATGGAGGAAGAATATGTTTCTTCCTCTTCCTCCTCATATGACTTTCATAAAAACATATATCTGAAATGTGATCCAGACACAACCTACCTGTGCTGGTATGTGAATACAAAATGACAATTGGTATGAGATATCTCCCACAGGCATTACATAGAATTATCTGCATTTTCTAAGATGGGGTGTTTTAGAAAATTGACATAAAACTGACATAAGACAATCCTGGTACGTAGGATCGGTGATCCATTTAACGGAAATCTACAGTGGATAAATGATTTACACTGAATGGTTTCTTGATGTTGCTGGCCATTTAAGTAAGAGAGATTTCAGCTAGAGTAAATGTTACACACATGCACATGCACACACACATACACATATATATTCTTCTTCTTTTTTTTTTTTAATTGTAGAGACAGGGTCTCACTATGCTGCCCAGGCTGGTTTTGAACTCCTGAGCTTAAGCAATTCCCCTGTCTTGGCCTCCCAAAGTGCTGGTATTACAGGCGTGAGCTACTGCACCCGGCCTTAAATGTTATATATTTTTAAGTAACATTTTATATGGTTTCATATACATTACTCCTTTTTAGTCATATATAAACCCCGTGAGATGGGGCAGAAACGACGTATTTTTACACAATAGTTTAGACGATTTGATTGCAATCAGTACTGCTATGCGTAACCTAGAGCTAGAATTAGGACCAGCCTCTCAGACTTTGCTCAGCCTATCACACTGCTGGGCTTTGTAAGACTGAGCTGGTGGGGCTCCTCTGCTTCCTCCTGTCCTTGCTCTCAATCGCTGTGCTGTCATCGGCAGCTAGGAGCAGCAGTGTATTCTTTTCTTCCCTCTCAAACAGTCCTAAATTTAGTAGGAATTAATAAGAAGCTCACCTTCATAAAAAAAGTTAGAAATCTATTTCTTTTCCAAGCCCCTTCTTCAGTTACAAAAACTGTATCTAGATGCAGAAAAAGGCCTGGGCTACAGACTCAAGGCTCTTTCTGCTCTATTACATTAGTTGACATCAGTGTTGCTATAAGAAACAAAAAAATTTATGTAAAAACACAACTGATTACAGCTATTTCTGTCCCCAGAGGAGGAAAGCTCCTATGGCTGGAGATAATGGCTTTTTATTTAGAAAGATTCCTTGCTTATTGGCTTTGAGAAAAAGGTCAGGTTCCCGTTCCCTTCTCCCCTGCATATGGTGGTGCTGGAAGGTCGGAGCAGCAGGACAGCAGGCAAAGGGGTGCTAGAGACATGCTAGCCAATGAGAAAGCCATGTGGGCTGCGGTAACAGAGTACTTTTAAGAAGAAGATGTGTCATAATGAGTATTAATTTAAAGGACTCTGATGCTACTTCCCTTGCTGAAAATACTCCAGCATAATCTGTTAAATAGATACTCCAATGCTTTCATTGAGTGTCATTTGTAGGGTAGAGGAATCGAAAGAGGGGACACAGGTACATCGTCCTCACTGGAAAATTGAAAATAACAGCTGCTTAAGGTTAAAGTCTAGATTTCAGTGGGCACAGAAAACTTGATGTAGACCGTAGTGCATATGCCACACAGATCTGCAGAGTGCATTTGCTGATTTGATGGAAATCTCAAGGTCATTGTAACTTCAGTTGACTTCTCCCTTACACAAAGAAAAGCCTAAAAGCCCTTATTGATTACTCTCAAGAAATCGGAGAAGAGGCCACGTCCAGTCAAGTATCTTAAAAAGGCTTTTGCAGTTGCGGAACTGTGGAAACTAAGCGACCTGAAATATCAGCTGGTTCAACCTTTCTCTACTCCTTCTCCTTCTTATCCTTTTTGCAATAAAGGAATCTAAGACCTAGATTGAGTGTCCAATGTATACAAGGTCATTGAGTGATCACAGATGCAAGACTAGAATCCGCCTGTGGATTCAGAGTCAGAAGCTCTGGGTTCTGGTCCCTGCTGCATTTTCTTATTTTCTGTACCTTCTT